AGGCTACTGGGAGCAAGAGCAGGGCTCAGGAAGGACTTCGGATCAGCAAGCTTTTCTTTATTCAGGATTCAGCAGAGGATGGGTCAAACACCTGGCCTACTGGGCAGAAAATGGCAGAAGGCTGAAACAAGGGTCTGGGTTTCAGGCTTTGTTCAGGGTGAGACAGGAGGGTACTTTAGGGGGTCCAATGCATTGGGGTTGGCTGGTTAATTAGGGTAGGACAATAGTGTGAATAGGGAATTTCCTGGGGCTTATGGTATCCGGGTCAGCTGACCCATTTGGGTGGGGGTCAGGTGCCAGTGAGTTCCTTTTGGGTTTGTTCACTCTGGCCAAGGCCTGGGGTTTAAAATGACAAAAGCTTAGGGAAATGTCCTTGAACTTATTCTCCATATCCTTCAATACACTGATCCTTCACCAATTTTTCCCAATGACAAGACAGGCCTCAGGAAGAGATATCCCTAAACTTTCCCAGATATTGACCACGGACCCCACACCCTCCATCTGGCCCAAACTGACAAGCCCATTAACGGAGTCACCTCTCAGTATAACCTATATAAGACTAAACTCCCTCTTTGGCCAGTGGTTCATTTTCCACCAAGAAAGTGGGTCCATCAGAGGCGTCACTCCGTCCTGAACAAAGCTGTGCTGATCCATGAAGTCTGTCTGGCCCAGTCCTTCTGTGCTAACAAAATCAGAGGCAGAAAACAAGACAATCTTCTATCAATCCAGCAGAAAAAAATAATAAAGGTTTATTGGGCCAGAACACCTGGCCAGGGTCTCACAGGGCCTGCAGAACCACCTACCCCTGCTCACTCATTTCCAGTCAGGGAAGGCCACTCTCCCATAGCCCAGAACCCAGGGACCCAGTAAAGGACATGGAGACTAGTCCAAGGACATTTCCTTTCTGGCCAGTTCCCCCACCAGTCTTATCTGGGGTAAAATCGGTGCTTTTGTCATTTAAAAGCCCAGGCCTCAGCCACAGTAAAGGAACAAAAAGGAACTTGCACCTGAAATTCCCCATTCAAACTACTATCCCACCTTTACCCAGGAGCTACCTTGCAGTCCCACCCTAAAGGAAGCCTATACAACCCAGACTCTTGCTTCAGCCTGCTGCCATTTCTGCCCCATTTTCTGCTGCCACATCACTGATTGACTCCAGCAGGGCCTCCGGCCTTGTCATTGGTGCTTACAACCAGGATAACAAGCAGCCCGGGCTGCCAGCCCAAGAAGGACTCAACTGCCCCCAGCTAGTCCATCGATCCACCAAAGTGGGTATGGTGCGCTACCACTACAACCCAGCCATACAATGCCAAGCCCCGGGCCCAGACAGGCCTGGACACTGTTAGCGATAGCCACAGGCCCTGGGTGGAGTCTGACCCAGACCAGAGAGCCCTCCCCCACTGCTTCCCACAGCTCCACACACGGGGTGGGTGCCCTCTCTGTGCCCCCTCACTGACCACTCTCTCTGTCCTTACTCTGTCAGGTGAGCAGCAGTGTCCCCAGTGAGAGCAGGAGAGCCTACAAGGCAGCCCTTCCTGCTGGCCACTGAGCCCATGCAAGGCAATGATCTGAGACTATCCTCACACAAAACTCTCATCTTTTCAGATAGAGGTCCTGACCACAAGGGCTGTGGCTGGGGCCCTGCCAATGACCCTGTCCAGGTAGGGAGACCACCCTAGCAGACCATCCTTGCTTGCCTGTGGTGACCACATAACAGGTTCAAGTCCTAACAGAGCCCACCCATGCCAGGAAGGAGTCTACCCAATGCAATCTGGTGAGCCAAGCAGAGTCATCCTCACCCCACCCTGCACTCGGAGAGTCCTATAGCAGGGATAAGGCCTGAGAAACAGCTGCAACGGGCTCTGAGGACAGCCCTGGATGGCAGACCCAGCAGCTGAGCCAAGGCCTCCCCAGAAGCCCCAGCCCAAGTCAGCTCCTCCAGCAAGGGCACCACCTCAATCATCTTCAGGAAACTCCTACAGCAAAGTCACACCTCTGTACCAGAGGACTCAGGCCAAGACAGCTCTTCCTATAGAAGGTTCTCAATGGCTCCTGAGCAGTATTCACAAAGCATATTGGAGTAAGAATGGTGTCAGTTCAGGGTCAACAGTGCTATGACACCCCCCACCCAGCCACACACATTTCAAATATCCACCAGGGCCAGGTCTCACAGGTCCTGGGCCACAGTGACAGATAGGGAGTCAGAGAATAACTGCAGTCCAACTTCTCACCAAAAATCTTGGGATAATAAACCTTCCCTGCTGGCCTCAGTATACCCCAGTAGGACAGGATACAGATGCTGCAAACCCAAACGTCAGAATTAATAGGCAACAACTGAAAATAACCCCTGAAGAAGAGTCTGGCCTTGTGCCCTTCCAATCTGTCCACTCTTTCTCCCCTTTAGTCTTTTGGTCACTCGGTGCCCCATCACACATCCATCAAATACTCAGGAGCCAGGCGGCATCGGGCATGATGGCAAACAGAGTAGTCAGAAAGCTGGTCACTCTCGGCTGTTAACCAGCCCATTGTTACAGATGTTGCACTAAAGTCAGAGTCTGAGGAACATAATTCATTACAGCTGGACTGAGCCACACAGGCAGAATTCCATTCATACAACCAAAACAAATCCCACAACCACAGGAACACCTTGTGCATTTAAAAAAAAAAATCGGAATGATAAAATGCCCAACAACCTCGGAAGCAGTACATAACATCCAGGTCTGGTGGACGGTGTCTTAGAACTTCAGTTAAGGGACTGAGCCAGTTCATCTTCCGATGGCCCAGACTCTTCATCAGTAAAATGGGGATGGCAGCAGGCCCTCCCCCAGGGGGACTGCTAAGTGGGTATGAATAGTATAATCAATGTTAACGCCTGCAAAATGACCCTCCTGTCTGCCAACCAGACCTCGGCCACACAGCCTAATTCAAACTCCACAACCTGGGAAGACCCCCTCCAGGGCCACCACCATATACTGAAGTCTTGCTGTGAATGGCCAGGTTCACCTGTGGTCACGGTCTGTGCACCTTTTCTCCCCTCTGGGAACTCCTGCTCGGAGGTTCCCAAATCTTGAACTTCCATACCTGCACTTCTCCTTCTGCCTTCTCCTCTCACAGCTCACTCATTCATCAAAACCTGCCCAGTGCCCACCTGCTCTGGATGCTAGGCTGGGTGCTCAGGGCACAAAGGCAACCAGGGTGGAAGTGCTTGAGACAAACATGCAAGTACAAGGGCATTCCAAGTGGCAGCTCAGCACACACGCCCACACACGTAAGAAAAGCCATGCAGTGTGCAGAAAACAAGGACCTCTACAGTTGCTGTGACACATGAAGCGAGAACTGAACAATGTGGCTGGAATCCTAGGCAGAAGCCACATCCTGCCTACCCTCCCAGCAGCGGGAAGCCATGGAGGGGACCTGAGGAAGCCTGCCTGCCCATGAGCCCCACACCTAGATGCCTGCCCGGGTCTAAGTCGTCACTCCAGTGCCTGCAGAGGACCAGGCCTGAGGCGTGCCCAGAAAAGACAGGCTGGGCAGTCAGGGCAGCCAAGGGTGCTGCATGTGCACAGACCATGTCAGCTGAGGTGAGGGATGGAGGAGACCCAGCCAGCAGGAAGCCTTCTAGGATCCACCAGCCTCCCACAGCCATCTGTAATCACAACCTGGCTCCTGACCCTACACTGCCCTGTGTGTGCCGCCATGCGCTGCCCAGGATCTCTACCAAGGACCTACAGTGCACCAGGCTGAACCACATCACAGTGTGGTTTAACCACCTGAGGCTATTAACAAACTTCATTTCTATCTTTCCACCTACTACTGTGCCCACATTGAGGTATGGTAAGGAACAATCCCAATCTCTGCCTCACAGACACTAAAGACAGCAAACATCCAGAAAGGTAGCAATGGTCAAATAAGAAGGGCTAGGAAAGATGCAACAAGATCCGAAATACCAGGAGACAGGAAGTTAAGCCAGTGACCAGGAGCCCATACCTGCAGAGGATAGGATCTGCCTGCAGGCTGGGACCTAAGGGAAGGACAGTAAGGGGTTCAATCAAGGAAAAGGTACCATGTATGGCTGGAATGGAGCCTGACAGGGTGAGGAGCAGCACCCTAACCTACAGAACTTTCCATGATGTCCCTATCAGCACTCTGCAATCCAGCAGCCACCAGTCAATGTGGCTTCACTTTAAGATCAATTTAAAAAGCTTTATGTGGCCACTGGCTGCCATCCTGAACAAAATGGTAAGAGTTCCCAGGGCCAAGGGAGAAGGAGATGCCAATCTGAAAATAACAGGTGGCCCCTGGGGTAAGTCCCCAAAGACGGCACAGATCTGAGCCCCCTGGAACTCCCTGGGATGTACCTGGCCCCAGTACCCACAAGGCACCTTGCACAAGTTCCAGAAGTAGCAGAGGATATGCACAGGCGCTTAAAGTCTCCAGCAGCGGCTGGAAGGCAGGGTCCACCGTGGAGCCACGGGGAACCACACCTGACAGCAGCCAACAAGTGGACAAGGGGACGCCCCTGGCCCAGAGCGGTCCACAGGGGGACCAGCAAGACGCACAGGTCAGGACGCACAGGTCTGGAACCGCCCACAAGCCCCGTATGCTGCACTGGAGACCCTGGCCACTGTCCCCGGCGTCCCCATTCCCCTCCCCGAACTCTCTCCCCAGACTCCGCAGACCCCCGGACCCCCTCCCCTGAGGTGTTTTTTTTTTTTTTCCCAGACCCTCAGACTCCCTCCCCGGCCTCCCTGCCAGGCTCTCTCCCAAGACCCTCGACTCTGTCCCCAGACTCCCTCCCCGGACTCCCGGACCTCCTCCCCTTCGACCACGACCCGCCTCCCAGACTCTCCCCAGATCGGCGGCCCCGGTCCCCCTCCCAGGACTCCGTCCGCGGACTCTCTCCCCAGACCCCCAGATATCCTCCCCGGACCCTCTCCCGGACCCTCGCCCCAGCCCGCTCCCACCGGGCCCGCCGGAGCCGCCTCCCCGTGCCGCCTCACCTGCCCGGGCACAGGGCGCTGGGCGGCTCAAGGCAGGAGGGCGGCTCGAGGCAGGAGGGCGGCTGGGCGGGCCGCGCACCCAAACATCACGTGACGGCTCCGCCAGCCAATGGCGCGCGCCCGCCCAGGCCCGCAGACTTCAAGCCCCAGCGTGCCCCGCGTGGCCGGAAGCTGCGCGGACGGAGGGCGGCGCGGCCAAAAGACCCGGGCGGGCGGAYGCGCGGACCCTGTGCCTGCCGGGGAGGTGGACCTCGGACGTGCCTCGAAGTGAGGGCTCCCGCGGGTGTCGGGAACCGGGAGCCGGGTTGTCACGCTGAGCAGGCTGCGTGGGCCCCTCGTGGGCACGCGAACGAGGAAACCAAAGCCCAAGAGAGTTGAAGGGCCCTTGCGAGGACCTTCGCTCAAAGCAGCGTGCGGAGTGGGGCGTCCCCGGGGGCGCCCTCCGGGGGCCCGCGCCCTCCCTCCTCCGCCCTGGCCCCGGGCTCCCTGAAGGCGCCCTCCGCCCGCTGGGTGGCCCACGGGAGGAAGGGACGCACGCGGCCCCTGGAGGAGCTGGGCCAGGGGATATGTGACGGTGGCCTTGGTGCCCGGCATCCTGTCTCCCCACGCCCACAGCCGGGGGGGGGGGGAAAGCGATGAGCCAGTCCCTCTCTGACTCATGGTCCTCGCTACTGCTGTCTTTCCATGATGGCCATTCTCCTTAGGCACAGGTCACACCTGGTGGCAGCGCAAGGTGCCAACCTGCAGAGGCCGCTGAGTTCCTATGAACGGGCTGTGCCCTCCACTTCCCTGGTCTGCATGAGGCTGTAACACTGAGCTTGAGGAGTGCACACCAGTGTGTGTGCTAGCATCAGTGTGTCCATGCACACATGGGAACAGCAGGCCTCTGACCCAGGCAAGCTGCCTCCCCACATTTCAAGATGCAATGTAGTCACAGCGCCAGCTCAGAAAACAAGCTCCAGCGTGACACCTAGCAAGCAGTCTCCCTGCCAGGGCATTTAATGCCACCCGAGGGGGGGGCAGTAAAGTAAAAGGAAAGAGCCAGTGGAAGGGTGTCAGTGTTGTCTTTACTGATTACATTACTGGGGAAGGAAGAGTGGGCCTCCCTGGAAACATGGAGCCTGCTAGCCCCTCACCCCTGGGGCAAAGGCAGCAGGCGGGGTCTCCACAACCCAAGGGGCACCATTCAGGCTTGCTGCCTGGCACAGTTTCCCGTTCCTTTCTTGCCAAATCTCATCTTTGAAGCCTATCCTCCATCATTTATTCATTCCACTAATCTTTATTCAATGTCAGACAACATGTTAGGCCCTGGGGATACCATACAATTGGATTTGGTTGCTAATGACAGAAAACCCCAAGTAACTGTGGCTTAAACAAGATCAGTGTTTGTTTAGAATTCAAATCCAGAGAAGGCAGCCTCAATCATCAAGACTCTGGGGGCCTTCACTTTTCTTCAGCAATCTCCAGACAGGCCTTACTCATGGTGGGATATGACTGTTGAGGCTCCAGACAGGATGTCTGCTTTCTAGTCAACAGGGAGAAGGATTCCATGGAGAGGCATGCAGGCATACTCTCCACAGCCTTCTAGGGATGCTCCCTGGGTTTTGCACACTCCATATCTGCTTTCACCCCTTGGCCAGAACTAGGTCCCTGGGTACTTCTGGCTGCAGGGAAGCTGGGAGATAACTGCATCCTGGGCCCCTGAGCCCGGTTAACATTTGGACTCTGGTACCCAGTAAGAAGAGGAGGACGGGGTTGGCCTAGAATCTCCAGCTGCATCCAGACAGCTCTGTTCACTACTATCAGGCCAGAGTTGACAGTCACACATGGACTGCAGCCTAGCTGAGGCCACACAGGACAGAACCAGGGATGGGTTACACCAGAGGGCTGGAGGCCAGGGAAGGGACATGCGAGATCAGCACTGAGCCCCTGGTGACATCATCCCACACCCAGCCAAGACAGCCCACAGCACACTGCCTTCCCTCAATGGGCTCAGATTGTGATGGCCTTGAAGCCACAGACCCGTGCAGCCACTGTGTCTGGGACATTGGGGAGGGATTTATGCAGCAGTTGAGGGCACACAGTTTGGCTCTCCTGCATGTTCCTTCCATGCACGCATTAGCTCATCATCTAAGTGAGAGCTGGACCCCTTAGGGGCAATAAGTGTTCTGGACATGCATACTGGCACGAGGCTCCTTGCTGGTCAGCCAGGACCTTCAGGGATTGTGTGGTGGGTCCAGTGAGTTCATGGAGAGCAAAGGCACTACAGACTGTAGGAGTAAATGTGATGGTGGTAATGGCCACAACCCACAGTGACCACACTGCTACTCACCTATCACTCATCCCTCCCCTCAGAGCTCCTCTGTCATTGCGACCACTGGGCCACCCTGATGCAGGAAGGTGCACTGTAACTCCTCTCCTGGCTGGCCACCTGCCCCTGTGGCCTGGAACCTCCTGCTGACACTGAACCACAGGAGAGAAGAGCAGGCCCAACCTGTCTTATCCTAGGGCAATGAGCTGCAAGAGACAAAGGTTGAGGTAAAAGGGACAGAGGTAAAGGCACCACCCTGAGCTAGCCCTTGGCCTCCATTATTTTAGTCAGCTGTTTCACTGCTATGACCAACGGACCTGATAAGAACAACTTAGAAGAGGAAAAATTTATTTGGAGCTCACAATTTCAGAGGTCTCAGTTCATAGGCAGCCATTGTCATTGCTCTGGGCTCAAGTTGAGGCAGAACATCATAACAGAAGGGTGTGGAGGAGGAAAGCAACTCAGGACATGGCAGGGTCAGGAAACAGGGTGGTGAAAAGTGTGCAGGGAAGATGTCCACTCCCACAGCACACTCCAGTGATCTACCTCCTCCAGCCACTTCCCACCTGCCCACAGTTACCACACAGTCAGTCCATTCAAACCAGGATGGAGGTTAGGTTACAGCTCTCACAACCCAATCATTTCACCTCTTAATATTCCTGCATTTACTAGAGCTTTGGGGGAGCATCTCATATTCAGACCATAACATTCTACCCACAAAACTCATGTCCATCTCCATTTAGTCCATCACCAAGAGTCCCATAGTCAGTTCCAGCATGGCTCAAAAGTCAAAGTCCAAAGTCTCTTTTGAGACCCAAGGCAAACTCTTGGCTGTGTGCCCCTGTAAAGACAAAAAGCAAGTTATATATACTCAGTATACACTGGCACAGAATAAGCCATCCCATTCCAAAGCGGAGGAATAGGGGCAGGGATGGGGCCAAACAAAGACCAAAATTCAGCAGGCAAACAGATCCTATTACCTCGCATACAACGTCTAGGACGCATGGCCACAGGATGTGCTCTCCAAAGGGACTGGGCAGCCCTGCCCCTTTGGCTTTTCCAGTTGCAGCCAGGGCCTTTCACAGTCTGCTTTTGCAACCAACAGCTCTTTTCTGCAGATGGTCCACATTATTGGCAAGGAACAAATGGGTGAGGCTGAGGGACAGTTTTCCTGATCCCTAAAAGCCTTCGCCTTCTGAGCTTGATGGGCCCCTGCAAGGGAACAGGATATCCTTGGTGCCTGGATGGACAAGCACCTCTGGCCCCTAGGATGTGATGGGAGCCATGATTAGGTCATCTAGACTGGGCAGCAGGGGGCTGCTCCCTTGCCAGTCTGCAGGGAGTAGTCAGAGTGAGAGGGACATGGGGCATTTTGTGGGAAGCTGGCCTGGCATTGGCCATGCAGATGACCACGTACGGCCCTCTATTTTCACCAGGGTGGGAGGAAAAGAGCCCACAGATATTACAAAGGAGAAGGTGCCCCAGTTTAGTAGGGGCAGGCAGTATAGCGGGTCCCTGGGGCAGACGGGCACAGCTCCACCCAGTAGAGCATCTGCTCTGTGCCTGGCCCAGCAGGGCCATGGGAGAAACAAGTCCCTGCCCCAGACTAGGGGACCGAGCCCCAGATGGTATTCAGTGTTGGGAAGGGAGGCCAGGGGGTCCCAACCCAGCCGCACCCAGCAGCCCCGGGTCCTCAGCACCATTGGCATTTCCTAGTCCTTCCCCATCTGCAGAGGGGGGCTTTGGCAGTGGTTCTGTTTCTTCATGGTCAGTGTCACCTGCAGGGTGGCAGATCTGGGTTGCTAGCTGGTGGTCAGGACAGACAGCCCCTGGTCCCCTGGTGAGAGTCCCTCTTGGAGAAGCAGAGCGTGACTCAGTGTCCCCTCCCTGCCCCTCAACATCTGTCTGCACCCTGACCTGGAGCAGCTGGGTCTTGCAGCCAGCATGCACCTGGCCTGCTCCCCAGGTGTGAAGTGGGCAGCTGCGAGAGGGTCCTGAGGAGCCCTGTTCTTTCAAGATGTCCCTGTCACCAGGTGGGACGGGTTCAGGGCCCACTGGCCACAATGCCCTAAACTGGAGCCAGAGCAGCCCCAGGGAAGCCCAGCAGGGCAGAGCAGGGGCTCGCCACGTCCACCCACCGAGGGACAGGGCCTCTTAGCTCCTCTGCACCCTGTGGGGCTGCACAGCAGGACCTAGAGCCTTCTCTGAGCTGAGACCCAGTGGTGTTGGCTCGAGGCCGTCCCCTCCCCCTCCCCTTCCATGGCAGCTGTGGGCGGGACTTTCCACCTGGCTAAGACCCGCGTTGGCCAATCAGAAGCTGACCTGACAACCCACTCCAATCATCAGGGTTCCCGCCAGCTGAAGCAATCGCCCTGTCACCTTACATCAGCCCTGACCAAAGCTCGACAGACAATGTCCCTAAACCCGGCTGGGCCATAGCTGCAATTTAGATGTCCCAGACCCCCACCCCCAGTTTCCCTTATTAGCACTCTTCCTGCCTTTCCCACCCGACTTCTCCGCCCCCACCCTCTTGCAGACGGCGCACCTCGCCCAGGAGCACCCCTAGCAAGCCTCCTTTTGGTGCCTCCTTGTTCCTTGGCTCCTGACCTCCCACCCTTTCGGCTTTACAAGCGCACCAGTGCACCCCAACCTCCCCTCCGTCCCTCACCTAGGACTTGAGGGTGTGACCCACCTGGGGGTGTTGGCGAGGTACCATCTTCTAGCACAGAGACCTGTGTCTGCTGATTC